TTCTCGCCTGAAGAGTTTGAAACTCACTATTCCAAAATGGGTGCTTAGCATTCAGATCACCTGCTAGAATAGATTTTCGTCTAAAGCTTAAGAGCTCAGTGATGTCAACATCATTCGAGGCATGGCCTGCAGATTTATAAATGGCTGCAAGTAGAACTTCACTATTATCAATCAATCAATGCAGACCCCTGTCACTTCCACTGAGACAAGAGGTGGTAAGTCTACATGGTTGTGGGGAATGCCTTTTCTAACTGCAACAGCAGTTCCACCATTTCTGCCTGGGTAGCAATCGGTTCAATAAAAGCGATAATTTGGAATAAAGAACCTCTCATGAGGTTTCAGATGTGTCTCTGAAAACAGAGCGACATCTACATGCAGGTCTTGTATCTGTTTACTGAGCTCATAGCGCTGCCCCGCAATGCCAGTCACATTAAATGCTATGACTTTGAAGGGCCTATGAATTCTAGTGGCCATTTTGCTCTCTGAGATTTAAGACAATTTTTGTAATGGCCAATAGTTTAGCCTCCTTTGGCACAGCACCATTAGACTCTGTCATAATCTGCTGTACTACTACCATTACTATTATTTTCAAAATTTTGTTCAGAGGCAAACTGTTTATATTTAGTGCCGGAACTGACTGACCTGTTGTCTGCTGTTCGTTTTGGGTAAGGCCACAGGGACCGTGTGTTCCATTGTGGCGGGACCTGCCACTGCCACCTGATGTGTCTGAGGCTGCCGTTGTTCCTCTGTCTTACTTCGGAGCGCCGCCGCGAAGGACACACATGGAGTGGTGAGGTTTGAAGAGAACACCCTTCCTGTTGTAGCTCTGGATGCCCTCTGCGATTTCTTTTTCTGCATCTCCTTCGCTTCTCTGCAGCCACGATAATTTGTGGAATGGGGTTTTTCTCCTTCTGCCAACTGACAGTAGCAACATGTGACCTCCGCACCACAAGCAGCGGAGAGGTTGCTTGAAGTTTGCCCAGATGTGGCTGAACTGCTGGCAGTTATGGCATTGCATAAGACTATTCTGGCCTCTATATGCCTCCTCCCTGATCGTGATGTGGCAGAGACTTTACAGTCGGAAAATTTCTTGGGATTTTTCTGTCCTCGGCAAGGTTATTAGGAAGAGGGGGAGGTTGATGGTTGTTGATCCATTGGAGGGTGACCGATGGGTAGTTGTCATCTGCTTGACACTAATAACATCAAATCCGAGGCTCACCAGCCTGTCAGATATGTCTTCTGCAGGGGTGTTGTGTGGTAGGTGACGTATCACTGCCCTCATAGGTTTTTCGGATTTGCGATAGAATGAGTAATAGAACATGTTATTGGTGTCGAAGTGGGATTTCATGGACTGGAAATCCGCCATGTCTCTCATGATGGCTCTGTTCCATGTGTTAACCTCTACTAGAATTCACGATTCCTGGGCACAGTACTGTCTCACTGACTCTGTCACTCCTGTATCTCTCTTGTCTGACCATAACTCTCACTGAGCAACTTCCTCACCTGGACAACTTATGTCAGTAGAACTATAGCTATATAAGCACCTGAGATCAGGCTTTGTCAGTGGGAGGTAACAGGAAAAGTGCTCAATAAAATCTGCAACAAAGCTTGCACAGACCTGAAACCAAGATAGAAAAGGAGATGGAAATTTTATGCAACAAACCAAGTCAATGAAAACAGAAACATAGGACTAATTTGAGAACTTCATGTTGTGAAACCATTGTTTGCCTATGAGTAGCTGAAACCCTGGGAATAAAATCTTATAGAAACCCACGAAGAATCAGATCACACTGATCATTGCGGTGAGTTGCTAACCTCATTATTGATGAGGGGGATCCAAATGGGAGAAATATCCAAACTGGACTGGCTAATGGGATCGGTTAACCTTAAGAGATGGCCCTTTAAATTCCGGTAATGGCTGCGGGACTGATTTAATTTAAATGCCCTCGATTATAAAGCAATAAAAATTGTAATCATTTACTAAAATTGCTGTGATTTCTACAATTTTTATGATAAACGAACCAAATAAACGCTGCTTGTTTCTAGAAAGAATATAGAATCCGATATTGTAATTTACAGACTTTATAAAATATGTAAAATTTTTTAGACTGATTCCAACTGAAATATGCCCCAATTTGTCGTCTGTCTACAAGAATTCATACAGTTGTTGCAAGTATGAATGCGGCTGATGTGGCAACACAGCGAAATCTTAGCTACCCCTGATTTAGGCTAGCCTATATCAATGTTTATTCACGTACGTTCTTTTGGTATGCAGAGATGTGGGCGCGTATCCGTTTATAAGAACCCTGATTGTTTATATTATTGCTTATAGCTACACAACGAGTGTTCTGTTCTGACCTGGTAGGCTACTGTATAAGAACTCTCAAGGTTAGCGTCCGTATAACAGCCCACCACATCAGAACACTCAAGGTTAGCATTCTGCGAAGTTGTAAAGCAACCAACCATTGCGTGGTCTCTTTTAGAAGACTGGGACATATTTCAGCTCATAAATGACTCCGAATCAGATTGTTGTAAAGACAGTTCTGAGAGTGGCGTTGAGGAAAGTGAATCAGAAATTGATTTTGACGAAGAACCATCATCTTGGTCGGCAACCTGGGGACCACCACACCAGCATGGCAAGAGGAGTGTGAATAATTATTCAGGTGGAGCTGTGGGCAAACTGTGGCAAACAGTTATAGCATCTGTCGTCGAACCTGGAAATGGACAAATAAACTATTTTTCCATCTCCTGGATCTGAACAGTTACATCCTGTTGTCACACAGAGAATTTTGTCTCGCTCTTGTGCGGAACATGCTGGAAGGGGTCCATCTCAACCTCAATGGACCAGGGGTCGGACCCCTGCCGTTTCATTGGAGATATCTCGATTAGAGGAGGCCAAACCACATCACTGGCCGACTTCCTCTACTTCGCAATTTAGGTGTCGTGTGTGCTTTTCACGTGGGAAACGAAGAACCGTCCGGACAAAGTGCGTGAAGTGTGACGTCGGTCTCTGCATTTCCGGATGATTCCAAGAATTCCACACGAAGGCAACATTCCGTTAGATGACGCAGGTGGGAAGACAGACAACTTATAAAGCTGGTGTCCAAAAATCATGTAAGTAGAACAAGAATTTATAACTTAAAATTAGATTTTAAAAAGCCGGCCGCACGCGTGGACTGCGCGATGACATAAGGCGTCATTCGTCCCCTTGACTTCATTTTAATGATGCCATATGGTGTCGCTCGGCTCTTAAAGGTTAAACATGCTATATGAGACAAAATATTGTGTTTGTGTTTCTAGAATACCAGGCAATGGACAAAGTCCAAAAACCCCTGTAATCCAGAGCACCATCATTTATGTATCGTATATAAATTATGATTTTTTCTGTTTCTTATATAACTGTTATTGAAGCTTTTTAAACAACTGAAAAAATCTGATGCTTTGATATCTGCACCAGTGCTTTCTTTTATCTATATATATATTTTTTTTTTCTGAAATTGGGCTTATGCCCGGTGGCAGCGTTTACAAAAATGGACATACATTCAACAAAGATACAGCACGTAAGTCTCAAGAAATTTCAGAGTACAATACAAGTACAATGACCTAATACAAGTACACTTCACTTCACTTCACTTCACTTGCCCTGCTGATTTTGTTTTCCTAACCTTCTTTCTAAATATATGCGCTTTAACGGGGTGAGTCCCAATCACCCCTTCAGGTAACTGGTTCCAGTCAGCAATGGTCCTGTTCACAAAGGAAGACTTCCTGACATCTGTTCTTATTTTTCTGGCTCTTATTTTCCTAAGATGATTGACTCTACTCACGTAGTATGGCACCTGTAATCTGTCCCCTATATCTTTCCATGCCCTGTCACCGTTATATGCTTTATAAAGTGCACACATCCTTGCTGTCATGCTACGCTGCGCCAAAGATTCCCAGACTGAGCCTCCTGTATAATGGGAAAATTTAGCAGCTTTATTTTGAACGCGGTCTAAAGCAGTGATCTGACATTCCGTTTGGATCCCAGCATGCCGCCCCATATTCGAGAATGGGACGTACTAGCGACGTGTAGGCTAAATGTTTGGTATTTTTATTACCCCTTTTTACAATATGCATTACAAAATGTAGTGCCCTCCAGGCTTTTCAGACCGTGTCATTTACCTGATCAGCCCAGCTTAAATCACTTCGCATGATAATTCCCAAATATTTGCAAAAGCTAGCTTCAGGAATATTATGGTCCCCAGGAGAGTAATTTAACGGATCCCTCACACGTGCTCTCATGAAGCTTATTGCCTTACTTTTATTTGGATTTATTTTCATTTCATTTTCTACTGCCCAGTTTCCCAATCTATCCAGATCTGTCTGTAATTTTTCTATATCCTTGACATTTAATATTTTCCTATATACTATACAGTCATCTGCGAAAAGTCTAATTTTTTATTCAGTGTTCCTCCATATATCGTTTACATAAGCTAGAAACAAAAGTGGGCCCAGAACGCTCCCTTGAGGTACACATGATGTCACTCTAACTTCCTCCGAGTATTGCCTCCCTGCTCTAACTCTCTGGGAACAACCTATCAGAAATTCCCTAATCCATACGACTACCCTTGAGTCCACGCCCAATGCTGCAATTTTGTTTAGCAGCCAGTCATGAGGAACAGCATCAAACGCTTTCGACAAATCTATTATAATCGTGTCCAGCCTGACTGCTTCATCTAGGGCGTCTGATATGTCCTGACAGACTGTGATTATTTGACTCTCGCACGAGTATCCCGGTCTGAAGCCGTGTTGCCCCTCGTATAGCCAATCACTCTCTTCCCACACTTGTCTTAAATATCCCGCTATGTGTTCCATTTGTTTGCACACCACTAAGGTTAAACTGAGTGGCCTGTAATTTTGGACTATGGAATGTTCGCCTCCCTTGTAAATATGAACCACTATGGCCTTTTTCCATTAATAAGCCTCCACTCATTCGGTTGCATGATTAATGTTATTTGTAGGTAAATGCAGCATTACAGGGACAGCCTGTGTCAGTGGCTGTACGACAGGCAACTCAGAGTCCTGTCCGCATCCAGACTGCAGCAAGTGGATCTCCTCTGGTAGCAGTAACAGTACAACAACCTGCAGGGGTTCAGTCCCAAGGCATCCCAACAGTGGTAACAGCACAAGTACAGCAGCAACAGCAACATTCCATTGCTAACCCTGCCACACAGTCAGGCAACTCACAGGAAGCAGTAAGGCACAAAGTCTCTTATTGTGGTAGTGGAAGAGAAGGATTCTCTTCTGTCTTTATTATGACTCTTTATAGACAGAGAGTTCAGGCAACTTATGAAACCAACTTTCCTTCAAATGTAGTCATGCTAGCAATAGTTATAAATTAAGTATTATATAATTCACTGCTCCAAACCTGTGCATAATTTCTGCTAGTAAAAGTTCCAAATAAAGACTTAGAATAACTCAGACAGGACAGTGACTAAGCTATAGGTTGGATGAATGGAGTTTGATTTCTGGCAGGAGCAGGGATATTCCTTTTGACACCCATGTCCAGATTGTCTTTGGAGCCCAGCCATCCATGCGTTCAGTGATTAAAGAAATAGTGTAACTAGGTATGTACCATATTTGCCAGTCTATCCAGGTGAATGCTGGGATACTACCTTACTTACTCGTGGAGCTGAGCCCTTCTGGAGGAGCCACAAATTCTGCAGCTACTCAAGAATTTCCCAGCATTTTATGGAACCCAAAGTTCATTACTGTGTTCACAAGAGCCTTCCACTGGTCCCTATCCTGAGCCAGATCAATCCAATCCATACCATCCTATATCTCTTAAGATCCATTTTAATATTGTCCACCCACCTATGCCTTGGTCTTCCCAGTGGTCTCTTTCCTTCTGGCTTTCCCACGAATATCCTGTATGCATTCCTCATCTCCCCCATTCGTGCTACATGCCTTTCTCGCCTCATCCTGCTTGACATGATCATTCTAATTATACTTGGAGAAGAGTACAAGTTATGAAGCTCCTCATTATGCAGTTTTCGACAACCTCCTGTCACTTCATCAGGTTTTGATTTGTTATCGTTGTTCCCAAATATCTGAAATGTACCACATTTTCAAAACATCTGTTTCCTATCTTTATGTCATGATTTTGCCCTGCATTTTGGTGATGAGACAGCAACATACACTTAGTTGTTTGTGTGTTTTTCTTTATGGTATCTATGTTATGACCCAGTAGATTCACATCAGCAGCATAGACCAACAGCTGATGTGTCCTGTTTAACTTCAGTCCCACCTGGTTTTCCTGGACCTTCCTAATGGCATATCCTAAAGCAAAGTTGAAAAGGAGTGGTGATGAAGCATCTCCTTGTTTTAGACCATTCTAAATAGGAAATTTATCAGACAAATGTTTACCTATATGGACTTCACTATACATTTCGTTTAAACACATTTTAATCAGCCTAACTAGTTTCATGGGTATCCCAAACTCTATCAGAATATTGTACAGCACTTCCATCCTAACTGAATCATGCTGGGATAACACCTTGAAAAAGACTACAGCCACATTCATACTCATTCTTTCCATTAATTGGTTGTAATCACCAGCTCATCTTCACTAATGCCATATGAAAATAACAGTTGATAAAGCACCATAAAATAAACCAAGAACCGTATTTGCATCTACATATATATATCTGTGTGTGTGTGTGTGTGTGTATGTGGGGATTAGTGTAAAAACATGTATTTTTAAATGGTCTTCCAAATATATGGTATAAAGGCAACAAAATTTCCTTTACATTGTATCATTCTCATTTCCCTGAGTTTATGCTTGCCTTGATTTTTCATTAATTTAAGCAGTCCCTTAAAAAGTGTAAAATAGACGTTTCACTTCACCTTTCTACTGAACTCCATGGTATCACATCCCAGAAGATGGTAATTTTTTTGCTGCTGTATGGAATAATACAAAAGCGTGTTACAGGAATGTTTATTTCCCATGAACAAATTTTCTGTGTGGCCAGTTTTGAACTTTGTTTCTAAGCTCCTGAGGTATACGTTCCAAAACAGAATTTGCAATGAATGGGAACCTAAAGATGTGAAATGAGAGGAAATATTCAAACTAATTAATGGGAGAAAGATATGTAATGGGACAGTCTACACAACAATAATTCTGAAAGAGACAAAATAGACATTACTGTGCCAGCATTTGTTTTTATTAGCTGTTGGAAATGCTACATGTTTTGACCCTTTTCTTGCGTCATCTTCAGATGTACAAGAATACTGGTACTGGTTCTTGAATTGTGTCATCAATCAATATGAATTCATATTGTGTTTGTATAAATTTTTATACTAACAAATACACTTTAATTTAAATGTGATTCAGATATGGTTTAAAACTTGATATTTATCATTAAAATGATAAAAATTAAAATTGGAATTAAAATAGCGATAAAGATACTTGTAACTTATATTAAGTCTTATTTAAAACTTTGCGACCACTACATATCCATATATGTATTGTTAAGTTGTTCATCTGTAGTAGTGATAGCTGTGATGTGGGATAACTGCATGCTGGGATCTTTCCTCAGAACCTGGGCTGTGTTGCATGAATTCACACCAATTTCTATATATTTATGCTTTGTTATTGTAACTCATAAAATATACTGTCGCGTGTTTGCTAGGCAACGTTACAAGAAATTTTGTGGATTTTGGATTTGAATTAATATTTTATTGGACAGTCACTTTTACACTTGCAAGTACAATTATTCACAACTTATAACATCTTTAGATGTTTCTTCTTAAATGTTACAACTTCTTGCACTGCTATCTGGGCAAAGTGTCTTCTGTTCTGAGGTCAAATACAAACTGAACTAGTCTCTTGTCGCAGATGGAGTTTTATAACTTTCACTCTGACCCAATAGGGAATACCATGTTGACGTGTTAACCTTGACCGCTGCTACGCAAAAGCTGCTTCAAAAAATTTGTGTGTAATGGTGGAAACTCCACTGTTAGGAATTGCTAGCATTCTGATTCCTAGCCACTGTCGTGAGAATGTTGGTCGTTGCCTAGGAAATCAACTCTGATCTCAACCATTCTGGATTTGTGGCAGCATGCCACAATACTTTCATTTTGTGGTCAGCCATCCCGGATTATATATACTTGATGGTGTAGTGTTGTTTGTTATTGTTCCCCAGTTCTCTTCATCAAACTTCAAATTGAAATCTGGTGCACTTATATGTTGAGTTTCTTCCATAAGAAATAATAAAAAGAGAGATTGCATAATTTATACAGCTATATCAACAATGTGTGAAAAATCCAAAGGTGTCATTCTCACATTGCTGCCTTTTGTAATTAGCAGACCAGCTTGAGGTTATTTATTTTTTGGATTTTAAAGTCATGAAACAGAAAGTTATCACCATTAATACCTGTAGCCATGGAAACATGACAATATCAGAATTTAAAGCTATGAAAAGGATCCTTTCATACATTCCCACAGAAGCAAAACCTCACATGAATCACAGGGTTCATGCAACACCTATTACTAACACTATAAGTAATTGTGCAGATCCAAATAAAGCAAACATGTAAAATCAAACTGAAATTTTTAAAAGCACTTGGAACTGCAGCATAAAAACCAATCATTCTCTTTTTCAGACCCAGTGAAACCTGAGCAGAGTGATTTTTGAAGACAGCCTTTGAAATGCCGTTTTGCAAGTGTTACATGTAATGAAAGTGCTGCTGATTAGAAGAAAGATCTGTTTTCAGAAGTGATTAGACATTCTACACTTCATGGCAGATGAAGAATTGATATTGTTAGTAATGTGCTTCTAAGAACACAAGCGTGAAACTGTCACCTCACATCAGGGATGCTTATTCCCCTATTTGTAATAAAATGTTTATATCCTAGGTAATCAGAAGGGATGATCTCTTTATGGACAAAACATGGATTTGAAGCCAAAGTCTTAAGAATAGATATAATTTCCATATTAACATGGAAATGTGAGATATAAACACAACTCTATGACTTTCAGCATTTATAAAATGTTAACAACTCCCTTTGTCAATTTTGATCTTGCCCATTATTCTGTTATAGTCACAAACATTCACACCAGTGTTATCCAGTGGGTTTATGTCACTCACATATATGAACATATGCTGAGGGTGCTTTACTTTATTAACATGTGAATTTGACTAGGTCAGGTATTGTGGGGAAGCAAATCCGCATACTCTCGACAGGAATTATGGAAGGTGAATCAATGAAATGAAATGAAATAGTGAACAGTAACTTTCCACTTGCCAGTGTTTAATGGTTAATGGGTATGTGATGTGGTTTGTATGTGCGTGTGTATTGACGTCAACTGTCCAACAGTTAAGTCAGAAAATCTGAACTGTAAACATTTTAAAAGTAATGTGATGCATTTTTTGCAGATATGTGAATTCATGTAATTGTGTGAAAGATCATGCTTTATGGCTGATATGAAAACATAGCAGCCAGTCATAACAGAATGGAAAGTATTACATTACTATGTAAATATGTCCGTCGATCACAACTCTGTACTTCTAACAAATAACTGACAGCCTCAAATTGTCAATAAAGTGAGTTAATTTATTAATATGTTACCTTTTCTGCATGTCTCGGTCATTTAGAACCATCATCCAGCATTTATAACCAATAAAATATATCCACGTTCATTACTGGACTGCGTGTCATAATGGATCCATTACTAGTTTTTACATAGGATTAATGTTTAAACATATTGAAATACTTGTCTAAGCATTTTCATTTCGTGCATCCTGCTGTGTTATAATACATACAACTTAATTATTGGGCCGTCACAACACAGCAATCAAAGAACTTCAGGGACAACGCCCAGATACCGTTCACTACATGGCCACTAGTGGCTGAAACATGTAGTGAACTGTATCTGGGCGTTCTCCCTGAAGTTCTTTGATTGTTGTGTTGTGACGGCCCAATAAATAAGTTGTATACTTGTCTAAGATTGGTAAAGATTATTTAAAATTATTGTTATTTTTTCTTATAGTTATCGATTATATGTATAGGGGTTCTATGGGTGGAACTGAGTAGGGGGGAATGGTGTGTGTGTGTATATATAGAATGTGTTTTTGAACTTTTGTTCTTTCTGGGGACATGGGTGTTATGCGAGTGTGCATTGTTGGTGCTAATGGTCACACGTGTTTTTCTTGTGTGAAATGGGGTCTTTCAAATTTTTGATCGTTTAGTATAAATGTTGATGTTATGTGGACATACGTTGTTGGTGCTGATGGTCTGGTGCCATCCTGTTTTTGGTAGTTTGGAAAATTAAGAATATTGTGAGGATGTTGTGTTACATGATTTTATGGTAGTTTTGCATGTGTGTACTTATGTTTTTCTTTGACATTCTGTGGTGGGCTTGCTGATCATGTTATTATTTGTTGTTCTGTATTAGTAAGCTTTTGTGTATTGGAATTTTGTTTATGGTGCTGTTTCCTGATTTTCTGAAAATGGATGTTGTTTTATGTTAATGTACTGTAGATTAGAAATATGAATACTACTTACTTGGTGTGCAAATATTGTTGATTTGTATAATCACTTGTTGAATTGTAATTTCGTTTCTTCTGCTGATGTGTTGTACCCAATTGTGTTGTTGGAAATTGACTGAGGTTATTGTTAAATAATGTCAGGAGTAGTATAGTGTGGGAGGGTGGTGGAGAGGGGTAGGCTTTTTCTTCTTTCGTCTTTAGGTAGTGGTGGGGGAAGGTCAGTTGGTGAGTGATTAATTATTATGTGGGATATGTTTTATGATTAGACTGAATATGGGGTTAGGTGTATCTGTGTATATGAAAGCATTCCCATGTATTTAATAGAGGGGGGGGGGTCAATGTGGAGTATATCCATTGTTTTCTCTATTGTACTGTGTT